TGATGTATAGCAAAAAATTTTGATATTTAGATATGGAAAAAAAGAAAATCAATGTTCCCTTTTTTCAGATTATTTACATATTAATAATAAGAAATCGTCATATTAATTGTTGAAACTCTGTACGTAACTGATCTTGGTGGTCATGCTAGGTTCGTGCATTATTTCCAAACGCTGAATCTATTTTATTGTTTTTTTGGTGAAATTAACCCTCCTTAGATTCAACGATCATTTAAAGTAGGTTCAGATCTGATGATCTCGGGAGATGGCAGAGATTCGAAGTCCTCATAATATATGATTTTTGATAAAATTACTGATAAAGAATGTTATACTCATTATCCTTATAACCCTTTTAAGTCCCATTCATCTCTTTTCTTATTATAAGATCATGTATAATAAAGTTTTTAGTTGTTATTCGTTTAGTAGCTGTTAACAAAAATCAACCGTGAGAAATGATTCTGCAGGAGAGTGACACTGCATAAAATTTAATGCAGGCCATTAATTATTAAAGCCAGTCAAGGTTTTATCGCACATAAACCTAATCACTATTATTATTATCGTAAAAATATAATTATACTCTGACAGCCTCTGGAGGCTGTCGAGAACATAAAATTTATGCGATAAGAATTTGTGCGGACCTGTAGGACCATTAAGTCATATGATAGCATGACAGAATAAATTCGAAATGATCTAACACCTGTGAAATCAAATTACCACTACATAGTTGTGTTAAAATAGTGTACATGTATGTTTACTGAAATTTCATTAAAATATAGATTCTAGATAACCGCTGTTAAGTCATTGTTGAACTGCTGTTGGCTTTTTCATAATAAACAAATATAAAATTATCTAAGCCACTGTCGAAGTGCTGTCGAAGCACTGTCGAAGCACTGTTGAGACATATAATAGTAATAAAAAATAGCTAATTTATTAGTTATCATAACCCGAATATCTCGTGATCGTTATTTCAAAAACATGTATACAGACCCATGGGGCTGTTAAGTCATGTGATAATACTTTATTTTTCCCAGAACAAATGTATGAATTTTCGTGTACCTAATTCATTTCAGCATGGATTGGTGCCGAGATAAGTCTCTTGATTTGACAGTCATGAGCTTCTATCAATGATAAAAATTAGATTACTGTTACATGGTTGTGTTAAACTAATGCACATTCATGTTTACAGGTACTTATTTCAGTATTTATGTATTTACGGAGTAACAAATACGATACTAGATGTTTGATCAACATGTTTTGATATTTTCGTTATAATGCATAAATAACGAAGTGTATAACGGTTATTCTAAATTTGTAAATTAGGCTTAAATATTGATATATAGCGTGTAAAATTATTACCGTACCCCATGTCCAATAATTGTGATGCCGAATTTAGTAAACAATACACCCTGGTTAATTATTGTTTTGTGATGTATAAGACAATAGTATCCCTTTTATATAAATCTTTCAATTTTTGATTTTTTTTATCGAAATTTTACCTTCTCACACTAGATTGTTTTTGTGTTGATAAGATGATTGCTGGAACTATTTGTGCAGGTATACTTAGTCATGCAAAAAATTTCGTTTCTACAGTTGGACGATAGGGCCTCTGACTATGTATATTGTGAGATCAAACATGCTCATAATTACCATTTGGTGGCCCAGTATTTTGGCGAAAGTGATCATCTATTTCACAAAAATATGCTAGTTATTCTTTAATAACATAGTCTTTTTAGGTGCAGTCATAACCTTTTGAGGTAGGCCTAGGATCTGACTGTTTCCTTTCTAAAATTTATTTTTTTATTCTACTCTTATAAAAACACTGCTTTGAGGGCACGATCGTTAACTATCATTGTCCTGTTATAAGAAGAGGAAGACTGAACGAGCTTCTTGTAATTAGTCCACCAAACTACAAGATAAAAAATAGTTTGAATGTATCCACCTCAAAATCTAAATAAATAGATATACCTTTTTTTTCTTTTGCTCTGAGTGTGATTGTCATCCTCAATGTAGAGCGTGTATAAGGAGGAAGATGATGCAGACTTCCTAAACAACCGAATCATATTGCAGAAAGTGATTGAATGTATTTACCAAAAAAATATATATATATATAAATATAAATAAAATTAATTTTCAATACAGGCATAGGTAGTTGTCTACCATTTTTCTAATACTATATCAGAGTGATATATTTTTTATATTAATATTTTTTTATCTAATTCCAACACAGGTAGAAAAGTGTCAATATGAAAAAAAAATCTATAAAGTATATGCTTCCTTTTTTTCTTTGTAAATATGCATACACAACATATCTTCCAGTTTCGAATAAAAATGAATCAGATATTTTATTATTATATACTTGTTACAAACCATTATAAGTCATTGAAATTGCTATAAATCGATAAAATCAGTGAAATTGTTACGTATACATATTATTACTATACCTGCAAAATAGTAAAAACTAACTACTATAATGGTTTGAATCCTGTCATATCACAGGCATTAATCAATCTGCAATATAGGTATAGTAATAAAATGCCTGAAATGTGGTGTTTGTGTATTTGTTATCCATTTAGGACACTTCTAGAAAATAACCCAAAATACTTCTCCATGAATGGATTTATCTATTTGACTGAAAGATCTAGAGATAGGGGATTTACGGTTGAGAAGCATTTATTTTATATTTATTGTACTGTATGTGACACCTTGGTATTTATCCATGAAAATACTATTGAATATGCTAGTAATCATCTAAAGAAATGCATTACTGAAAAATACTTTGCATATTCTAAATCTGTATGGAAAAATAAAGGAGTGTCAAGCTGAAAGAGTGTATTATTGCTTAGTCCCAATGAGATTAAAAAAATTTATCAAACTTATTGGATTATGTACAGTAAAGATTTAGCTCATTATAGTTATGATTAATTATATGAGAGTAGAAAAAGGATTGTAAATTGTCTAATTAATAATGCAAAAGTTATCCAACAGGCTTGGAAAGCTTTCCAGTTGAAATCCGAAACATGGGCAAAACAAGTTTGGAATATGGTGGGGAATGATAGCACTCTCAATGAGAAGAAGTTTTTAGGTATAATTCTCATAATATAAAAATTTCCAATGATTGATATGTATGGTATATAGATCGAAAAATTCTAGCTAAAGATGTACTTGCATATCATCAGAATGGTCTATATGATCATTATACTCCATACAAGTGAGCAGAAAAGAAGAAAGATCAGTTACATGAATGATTAGGTCTTGTATCATATATATTTGCCTTTATAGTATTACATCAGCAAGGCTATAGAATCGTTAAATATTCAGGATGGACTTATATGTTAAAGTGGTTATTGAATTCTGAATATTACTGTATTGATGAATTTGGTAATGAAAGAATTATTAGAAGTTTAGAATATTCATGATACATGTATAAAACACATGGCAAACCATATCCGTGTGAATCACTAAAAATCAACTATTTTGAAACTAAATATATTTATATTCTGGAAGAAGAAATTAACATAGATTTCTCAGATTCAAACAATAATTGTGAGTATGTGTGTCAAATTTTCTGGACTATGAATTCGATATCAAAATAGATATTATGTATTTATTATAATAATTTATTTTTTGTAGAAGCACAATAACATATATTAATAACTAAACTCTATTCATCTAACACTAATAGTGCGTCCCATCCTAGTCTAATTGCTAAAAATTGTCTACTAGTTTAGTAAAATTGAAGACTACAAATTCTCGTTCTCATAAATGTTTATCAATAATTTTGGATGCTTTTTTTAGATTATTCGTATATTGATGTACAACTCTGCTAATGTCATCTCTAAATCCTGAGTCCCGAAATAAAGCTAAGTATGAAATATTCTCATGAATAATTTTAGGGGTTTGTGTATACTTCTGGCTCACATATATGCTTGATACACCTTAATACCAGCCACTAATAAAATATGGAACAATCCGATTCTAGATTTTCTTTGATTCAGCACAAAGATCCTCGAAGACTACAACCGTATTTCTATCTGAAGAAAATTTAGTTACATCTAAAATTGCATCTGCTTTTAATGTGTGAAATGTCATGTTTTTCTATCTGGGCCCTTCAAAAAAATTTTATAACAGTTTTTTACTAATATCTATTTGGGCTCATAAATATGCTTTCCAATTAAGACTAGATCATCATTTTTAATATACTGTTCCCCTTTCTTTTCTTTAAACAAATGTTGGATTTTATTTTCAAGAAGATTAAGAATTATATTAGTTTTTCTACTATCTGATCCACCACAAATTAACAAATGAAAAGGAAATGCAGGACTGGCAGGATGATTCATATTCTTTGAATTTTTGGTCTCATTAAGATGGTATATATAATACTCCATTTTTCTCATTTTGAATAAAATTATTATATTGAAAAAATAAGGATTTTAATAAAATACATACATTTAAAGTTTCATATTTATTTTACTGACTAGAGAATTAGTCAAGAAGCCTTTCTTGATTAGCGTATGCCTGATATAGGGAAAGAGATCGGCAGTATGAGACACTGAGATAAAACATATACCTTCTTTTTTACATATATCTTGCTTTTTTTGATTTCAGGATTTCTGTTCATCCAAATCTATTTCTCCTCTTCTATGAAACATCGAATTTAAACTATAGTATTGGGGTCCCTGGAATTTAAACGCTAAATGCAATTCCTCATTATACCCATCGAGATGCATTCTATCCAAAAATTTAGGCCTACATAGTGGGAATTTCTTACTTAAAAGATCCTCAAAAATATGTCGGCATTGACGTTTGCTAGTATGGTGGCATAAGGGACACCACTCAAATTTTTTTATGATATATTTTAACAGATACTCCTATTGATGCGCACCATTCTCACAAGACCAGAGATAGATACTGTGCCCATGTATCTGGTCAGTTTTTCCAAGGCATTGGCCACCACGCTTCTCTGCGTAAACCTGGGCTTGAGTTATCTCGTTATTGGTGGGGAAAGCATATGCGATATGTATGGATAATATTCTTTGAGGGAGGTACTCAACCTTTTCTAGATCAGCTATTAACATGAGTTCCTCTCTTATGAATCTCCACTTTGGTGAAAACTCATCACCTTTGAGATAATATAAGACAGGCTCATTTTTAGAAACCACAATTTTTCAGATCTTATAAATAGAAGGTAAAAATGTAGGATCAGTACTTCTGTGAACCGCTTCCATATCACCTTCTTATTCAGCATTAGCAAGAAAGTAATGAACTAAATCATCTTTATTTAACATTACTTCACTCTTTCCAATAGCTCACTTTTTGGGAACCGATGGTCTGAACTCAACCTTCTCCAATAAAATAGCCTCTAAAGGTGCTAACCCCCATTTCGAAGACCCCAGTTTTCTGATAAAGCATGTGGAATAACTGCTTAGATAATCAACAACTTTTAGTAAATGTCTAACTCATGCTCTTATTAATCTTGGTTCAGAAGATATAGACTTAACAGCATACTGAATCTTATAGAGCATGTTCTCTTCTGTCTTATTAAAATGTTCCACTATTGCAAGATCTTTATGACTATAGGGCCCTATTATTTGAATTGTGACACCATGTTCTTGCATCAACTGGGACGTTTCAGACATCCATTCTTTTCCATTATCTGTTTGAAGTAACTTAGGATAGGTAAGAGGATTATTGGGGTTATCATATACTTTTCTAAACACTTTAGTAACTTCTGAACTTTTTTTTGAGGTAAGCAGGACTGATGCTTTATATCAGGAAGTGCAGTCTATTATATTAAGCACTGTCTTATATATTTTTCTCTTATATTTATCATGTGTGAAAAATAATATATCAGCTTGATGTACATAATTTGATCATATTATTTTTCTATAACTAACTCTAGGAATATGTCTAGGTGGAGGCATATAGATTTGGTACGATTGCTGGTGTTCCAGCCAATTTTTTACATCTTTTAAGTTGAATTAATGACCTTCTTTTTTACATGCATCTCTTAAGGATTTAGGATTGGAATAATACCCAGTTGGGCGATAATATATATCATGCAATATGAGATTTTTTTCGATTCTCTGGGCCTTATCTGGATCGATATAGATAACTAGTTTTCCCATTACTTTATTTAATAATAGTAAATAAAAAATATGGAGGAATTACAACAGAGTAATCAAGAACTCCATGAGGTAGTATCCCAATTAGCAGAATCAAATAGGAATTTCGAACAAAGATTATATACCTTAAAAAGAGTTATTGATATACAGAAAGAAAGAATTCGATTTTTTGAAGAAGAGTTAAATAACGCTATTGAACTTTCTAAACAAGACAAAGAAGAATTAATAGAAGAAATTTCAAAATTAAAATGAATTGTCTGACAGCTTGAAGAGGAAAATAAAAAGAAAGACAATGAAATTTCTAATAAAGATAGATTGATATCAGAATTCGATAAGCATGAGACAAAATTAAAAAACCAAATATGAGAAATATCAAAATTTGCGAGCAATACCTCCAAAGCACAAGATTATACAACCAGATTAGTGAACGAGAATGAACAGCTTAAATGAGAAATAAATACGGTAAGAACTAATCAAATAAATAGGATTAACAAAATAACCTAACAAAAAAACTGTATTACAGACCTGCTTTGTCAAAATTTTGCATTAGCATTATTAAGATATCGAGATAGATTAGAACTTAGAAATACACAAGAGGCTTTACAAAATGCACAGGCATAGAATTTTGGCGAAAATAAATCTGATTCTGATGAAAATTCTCTAAACTTGTATAATTCTGATAATAATATAGCCATAATAGCTGAGTTGGCTAATGCAATAGACTGATCTCTAAATGATACAATATGTAGAACCATTTTAACAAATCAAATTAAAAGATTAACAAGATCAATCTGACGTAAATACACTAACCTGCAACAAGAACTGGTGAATGAATAATGAAACCATGATATATATAGGCAGAAATGCGATCAAGCGGTGCAGAAGCGTGATCAGTTACGAACCAATGCTCAGAATCAAGTAAACAGAATAATAAATAATATAGCAAAAAAGCAAACCTGTATCGGTAAATTGCTGAGAGAAAAGCTAGCCTTTCAGCTAATATATCGAAGGTGCAAAGCTGAGGTTAACTTGGCAGAATTCAATCGAGCCTGGGTATTTAATTAGTATCAAAAATAGAAGGCTCATGAAATTAATTCTCACCAGAATATTTTAATTTTAAATCAACAAATTTTTGCACTACAGAATAATCCACCTAATATACAATGAATAGAAATGATAGGATACAGACCCCCAATATTTCATGGTCGTCCTAGAAAAGATCCAGAGGATTGGCTCAAAGAGATGCAAAGATATATAGTAGCTAGTCAAATAAATGTTGCACCTAGTGTGGGTCAGGTTGCTGGAAGAGAAGAGGCATTTGGATTGGTAATATTATGTCTTGCAAGCCCTGCATTGAATTGGTATAATATCTGCATTAAGGGTAAAAATTGGTGATGTAATAATCTCTCAGATAACTTAGGTGTAGCTACTTTAACTGCTGTTCAAGCAATTGGTACTAGAAATGGTGGTAATCAGATTGGTGGTTTGAATACTGCAGGAGAATTTTGTAACAAAGCTAGAGCTGAAATTGGTAGAATTAGAGCAGGTGTTACAACTGATGCTAATATCATTCTGAATAGAACATGGAATAAAGACTGGTCTATAGCCGGTGGTAAACCTACAGATAATGCACCAGTTGCACCAAATGCTGGCGGAGGTTTTCTTGCTATTACAATTGCTCCTGGTATTAAGCTTAGGCAACTCCTTTATCTATTTAGTACTTCTTATATGATGGTTGAACACTTAAAACAAATGGCAGTTTTTGGTCAACTTATGCAAAGAGATATGAGTGTTGAAGAGTTCTCCACTCGAATCAAAAAGGTTGGTAAATTGGCCAGAATGATACCCAAACAACAAAAAGATCAATTTATTTGTAGCTTAAATCCTATGAACCAATATAATATTTGAATAATGGCTAAATTTGAGGATACTTAGGAAAATATCACAAGAGCCTTAGCTAAAGCAGAAAAATTTACACTTTCTCAAAGAAATGCACCATCTTCTCTTCCTGCTTTTCTGGTAGCCAACCCCTACATAGACACTAACAAATCGGGAATGACTAAAACTGAAATCGTAGATTTGATAAAAACCGCAATGGCATCTTCAGAGTCTCAAACGACTCAACAAAATGCTGATTTGCAGTCTACTATTAAATCCTTGCAAGAGACTATGTCTCAAGTGACTAAAACTCTAGATAATAGTAAAAAATCATCTAAGAAGAGAGCAAAAGATACTGCCATTAATTGCTTTTTGAGTAACTTACTAAGAAAAAATCCAGTTAAACACTCTGTTGATGAATATGATTATGATCCTATAGAAGATATTTCAGATAGTTTAGCAAGATTAACATTAAATAGTGTCATAAAAACTGCTGTTAGATGTGCTGTTAAGAAATCATCAGGTCACAAATGCTCCATCTGTGGAAGATCTGGACATAATTCCTGAAACTGCCTTTGAAAGAAGAAAAAGAGAAGTAAAAAAGTCTAAAAAGAGTAAGGTTAATATCAATACCGTAGATTTAAATTTGGATTCAGGTACTTCTTCAGATACTTTTAGTAATAGTTCTGACTTTGATACAAGTTCAGAGAATTCCTCCGATTCTGAAGGTGATATCATCATTAACATAGCTAAGTTAAAAAAAAAGTGAAACAAGACTCTAGTTCCAAGAAATTGTCCCTTAAAAAGATATCTAAAACTTCATTAGAGGAAACTATTCGTAAAGTCCTCCAAAGTGAACTTAAATTAATTTTTCCTGATCATTTCTCCCAAGACTCTATTAAAGCTAATATACCGAATCAAGTGCCTCTAATCTAGAAAAAGATAGAATCTCAAAGCAATACTTCTCCAATTACTAAGGTTGTATCACTAGATCCAGATAAGAAAGAAGATTTGGATGGTCTGATAGAGATTGATTTTGTTAAGAAAAAGGAGCAAAAAACAAGTGTTGCTACTATAAAGTGTAAAATCAAATGTTTAAAGATTTCTGTCATGACAGTCAACTCTGGAGCTGAACCTCTCATTATAACAGAAAATATCGTTAAATGTGTAGGAGCTAAAATTGATAAATCTGAAACACATAATCTTAGTGGTATTGCCACTGTTCTGGTTGAATCTGTTGGGGTTGTTCACAAATTACCTATTACTCTAGCCCTAGGCTGTACTATCCATGAAGATTTTATTGTTGTGAAATATCAGAAGCTGATGTTAATATTTTCAAATCAGCTTTTGAAAAAATACAATTCCACATTGGATTGGAAAACCAATGAGCTAAAAATTTCTTTTAATGAAAAAAATTATATTATCCCAGTCACTATGCATAAGGTTAAAAACAAGCTTGAGATAAATTGCACAAACATAACTCCAGATTGTGATGATTTCTCGACTTTGAATAACATATCACAGGACTCACAGGGGTTAAGTGAGTATGACGATGTATTAAAAAAAAACTAATGACCTATAAGAAGCTTAAAAAAATGTTATATATCACTCTCATTTTTGAAGCTAAATTAATTGAAATTAATAAAAACCTCTGATCCCTTTTTTCATATTAACTATTATTAGAGTACTTTTGCTGAATATAATGGGCTTAAAAATGAGTTATGAGCTAGGCATTTTTTTGATTCGCATATAGCTTCTTCTGCTTCGATATGATTTTTTTCAATTGAAGCAATTAGATCATATGAGATGTTTAGTGAGGAATTTTGGCAGGAGCTTTTGGTTGAAATCTCAGGTAAGTCAGAACTTTGAACAGGTTTGGGTTTTGATGACTTCTTTTTCTTTTTTTGCTTTTCCTGTACATGATCCAAGAGGGACCCACCTGGCTCAATGAACTCAGAAAATGAAGGGGTCCTAGACGAACTAGATAATTTACTTGTAATTGACTTATTTAACGACTTTAAAAATTCTACAATTGGATAATTGTTTTCTTTTTCTTAGGGGTTATTTTCTGAAGGAGGGACTGATGAGACGGATTGTACTTTTCTAAGCTCCTCGAAAAAGTGGTTTTTATTTTGCTGTGAATGCTCACAATTATTCCATATATCATAAACACAGTCTTTATTAATATAGTACTCATTTACTATCATGTACACTGGAACCTTATTTTTGAGATATCTAATTTCTTCAATCTGTCCAGATGTTAAAATAGTGGCACTCCGCTGATAATAGGTTTTTAAAATCAAGTTAGACATAATCTTCTGATATTTTTAGACAGTGTATTTAGATGCATAAAAAATATTAGGTATTAATATTTATTGTTTTAGATAGATAATAAAAAAATTAGAATTCAATATTTATTATTTTAGAATGAGAGAAGATGTTAGAAAGCATAATTTATTGTTTTAGGTGGGTAGAATACATTCTAATACACTATCTAAAATAATAATAAAAATGATCGATAACCTTTGTGTTCATTTTTTATTTATTGTGATTATTCTCTAACATAAAATTTGAAAGTTTTTTTTTACATGTTTATAGCTAATGTAAATAAATAGGAACATATGATCTTGAAAAAAAGATACGTTACATCTTACAAGACTCATCCAAGATACAAGATTATAATGCTAAGTTGCAGAACAAATATATGAAGATCAATGATGAGGCCAGATGGTTAAAGGTTAAAAATTCTAAACTTTTTTCTTAATATGCTTGCACGAAGACTTCTCTCACCAAATATAAAGCTGAATGTCATGCAAAATCAGAGAAAGTAAAATCGCTTCAATCTGTGATTAATTTATTACCTCTGGAATACTTTGATAAGAATAATCAGCCAGATGGTCCTAAGAGGACCGATTCATATATAAAAAGTAGTAGCAAAAAAAATAATGAGCCAGAGAGCTCTAGCACTTCTTCAGAACAAATCATACCCACTACTATTTCTAAAGAAAAAATTTCATTAGGTAGTATGAGGAACTCTATTGATATAGACAAATTACTATCATCGGTGCTCACCTGCTCGATATTGCTTTTTCTATTAATCATAATTATATGGTTAGTCATTGTGAAAAAGCTATAGAATTTGGAGAGCATCATGCCAAAAGAAAAAGTCAAATATCCCATCCACCAAAAATATATAAATAGAGAAGAGGTACCAGATAGGCTAAAGATAACACCTAATTATCTACTATATGAGTATTAACACTAGTAGAATTTCTTTAAATCTTTTTTAATGCAGGCTAATATCATTTTTAGTAAATCTTTGAGCGGGTTTATTAAAACTTTTTCTACCTAAGACACTGTATATCCTAATAACTATCCAATATAAATCTGATCACTGCTCTTACTATTATGATCATAACATAGTAAAAATTAATACTCATCTATTACAATATCTGCCATTCCCCTCCTGATCTGCTATTATCTCATGAAATTCCTGTTCATCCTCTTCTGTGATTGGGAGACAAATTTCATTAAGTTTGAAGCCTATATATTGGAAAAGTTGGTTGTGTAATTCAGCTATTATATTAATAAACCTTGAGTTTAAATAAAACCATTAATATTGCACAAGAAAAAATACCTAAATACTGCTAATGATCAGCTATATATCTGAGGCTGGGCTATGTGATCAGAGGACTAAGTTAAAAGAGGCCACCACGTGACCTGACCAGAGATAGAAATTGAAGTTAGTTGGTATTATTGCATGAAAAAAAAATATATAAATAATATTGTAAGTTTTCTTAGCTAAAATTCTCACATCCTGCTAAGAGTACTTAATAATATAATTCGATGATATCATCTATATCTGCTTCATATGAATTATTTTTTTTATCACTCTGTAACTTCAATGATGCTCGATAGTGTGTGATTTCTAGGCCAACCACTTTGTACCATGTGTTTTGCAAATTAGCTAATATTTCATATCTATTTTCTTAAATATATGTTAACATATATTTTTCTAAGATCATGGCTTTAGATTTGTGCTTACTGGCCTTAGTAACTAATTTATAAATTTCTTTTCTGCTCCCTATATCATTTTGAGAAATTTCTGCAAGTAATATCATTAGCTTTATGTGAATTGATTCCTTCTGCTTATCTAATGTGCTAAGAAAGGAAGACCAATAAGCATCATTTCCCGAGCATTTTACTATTTTATCAGCATAAGTGGTATCATATAAATTTTTCGCATAAGTATATGCTTCTTTCTATAGATGGGCTATGATAGTCTCATCTTTTTTTGGACCTTCATGAAGGTTTTTGATATATTCTCTAACCTACTTTTTAGCTGATTTCTGTGCTAATGCATCTCTTATTTTTGATACCTTATCTTCATCTACTTCGTCTTTATCCTCTTTATCTACTTCATCCTTATTTACTTCGTCTTCATTCACTTTATTATCATCTTTTAACTTTTTTAAGGTTTTCAGCAAATTTTCAAATGATGGCTAGTGTCTATCATCATAATTTATAAAATGTGCACAGAGCTCGATAACAGTTTTCAGATAATAGTTAATATTGATCTTTTTGCCAAGACATCTTACCACTTCTGGGTACTCCATTTTGTCACCTACCTTTTGTGATAAATCATTCTCAACTACAACATATTCAAAGCGATTATCTGGTTATGGAATTTGATAAAGATAAGGCTCGGGTATTAGGCCCTTTTTTATGAGCCATTTGGTGTCTGCTTCTTCATGGGTATGTCTATCTCGCATTCGTGAAATGAAGCATTGTACACTCTTGTTATTTTTATCAGGCTTCTACATAGCAGTTTTAATTATTTCATTAAGATCTATCTGTGAAATACCATTTACCATTTCTGTGAGTACACTCTCTACAAGCTGATGCAAAGTATGTGTATTATTTACTCTGATAGATTCTTCCATAATACGTTTTCTTATTTTATGAAAAAGACTAGACTGCCTTCGTTTTACAGTCTCAACTTCTCGAATGAAAAGCTTGTTATTAAAGTTTGGCTTACTTATATGTGGAATGCTAAAGTATTTTTTCTTTCCAGTAAATGCTACTGAAAATAAAACTTCCTCATATGCTATTTTAAGATAAGGTGATCTGTTATCTTTCCTGAAAAAGCTATTAACTTCATTGCGAAGCTTTTCCATTTCTTTCATAGATATTTTTACCATTCGAGACCAATATTCTTCTTTTGAGATCTCGCTATTATTGTAAGCCTTGTTACATTTCTGGAAGCATTCTTCTGGACAGATGAGATATAAGGAATCAGTGTCGCTATATTTTATCCTGAACCTCTTGTTTTTAACGAAATCTGCAACAAGTTTAATATTTCTCTAACCTGCTGATGTGATGCCCCCAGCAAGTTCACGCAAGAAGAAAGGAGATTTACTATCTCCGGCAGTCCCATAGAATGTATTCATATATACCTTAAAAGCATATTGTTTCACATCTAAGCAAGAGCAGTCGAAACAAACAGAATCATATTCTGCCATGAATTCATACACTACATGTTTTTCCTTATGAATAAAGTAATATAAATTTTTAGTAATACTGGCACATTTTTCTTCTTCTATATTTGCCAAGATTTGCTCAATAGCCTCTAATAATGATAAACCTTTACCCATTGAACTCTTTACCAGATCCATATCTTCTTTTTTTCCTTTTAAAGGAGTGAGGCACTTTTTCATCTCATTCCATTTGCCAGATAAATATTTCAATATATTGGCATAGAGCCCCTTTTCTTTAGAAATATTATTATGTTGAACTGACCAGGCTCGTAGAGACTGATTATTAAATAGAAACTCAATCTTATGAAGTTTCTTTCCACTATGTTTTACTGATAGAGTCCACTTTTCTGATAAAATGATTTTATCAGGTAAGAGGTTATATGTTATAATAAGATTTGGATATAATAAAGCAAAATTCAAACCAGTTACAGAATGTCTATTTTCAAGTCCCTTTATTGGTGCGAAGATGTAGGCACCAGGGTATTTTTCAGTTTCCGTTTGCTGATATTGAATCATATTAGTTAAGATCCCATCCTGCCATGCACTGGCACCTAAAAGATTGCATATTTTTATCCCCCCTGCGAAGTAGTGTGCATTGAATTATAATAAAAAGGCTATACTTGCAACCTCTCTGTATTCGTTAATTGCATTGTGCTTGACCATTAACCGCTGGCAACTAAGGGCATCAATTATATAATATTCAGCTATTTCATATATTTATTTAGCTGTTGTAGCATCTTTATTGTTTAGCACATTTTCGTAATATTTGAACATATGATTAAAAGGCATATCTATTTTACTTTTAAGTCCATATTCGCTTAGATAGAATACTAAACTGCTTTTTTCAGCCTTAGAATATAATTTCATAAAGCAAAAGTGAACATTAATAGCTACATACCCCGGAATTTTAAAATACTTCGAATGGAAATTTATATCATTAACTTTTATCATGTTATATTGATATTGCCATTTTGTAATTTTTTCTAGGCTCGATGGCTTGAATGACATATAATTGAACATCTATTCAAGAACCCCTAATTTATTAGCCTTTTCCACAATAAATTCCTAGTTGTATTGAGAATCGTTGAAGCCTATTTGTATTTCTGGGGCTAAAAGTTTCCAACATAAAGCGAATGCTTTTAATAAATTAACTTGGAATCTATATATAATTGTAATCCATCATGAATCTGACGTAGTTTCAACATCAACAAGACAGATTCGCTTTAATGGTTCAGGATCATCTTTCCAATGAATGGTTATACAAATCATGAATACAATGTCTTCTTTGTATTTTGCATTAGGCACCTTACCTGTTTTTCATGAGCTATATGTTTCAATATCCCATGTGAGTATGAGAGTTCGATCCCTTATAAGTGCTGAAGAAATCAACAGATTGTTATACTCATTATTGCTTATTTGGTTGTAATTGTTTATGGGTACTTAGAAGAGATAAGTATTTTCTGACAGTATGTATGAATAATTGCTTAATAGTGCCCAGCTTGAAAGAGGTAACCTTTCTTCACGGGCTACTTTGCGATAATAATACTGGCAATTTAAATCATCTGAAACTGTACACATACCAACAGCATAAATTGCTTTTAATGCATTATACCAGTTATAGTGATTCCATGTTCTCATATAAATATATGGTTTCTTTTCTGTATAGTACCCTTGAAGTGAAAAAGCACTAACAGTTTCAATCCCAAACTTCGATGTGTTATTAAAAATATTAGATAATATCTTAACTAATTTGGTCTTAAATATGGATAACAGCATCTTTTCAGGTACTTTGACATCAAAGAAAGGTTTGATGTCTGTAATATTTATAACTGCCTTTTGACCATTAATTAAAGTACCAGTAATACACAAAATATAAGTAGAGATCCCATTTATATATTTAGTATCATCACTAACTTTAATAGGCATAAAATGTATGGGCTGTTTGCTAAATAGGCTTTGTTAGATCAAAGAGGTGGTTCTATTATCAAATTCTGCCACAATATTATTACATGATAGAACACTGGCTATGGTCTCAGTACCGCCGTAGCGGGTGAAGAGGCCAGTTCTAGTGCGATCAGTTTGGTCAGAAATAGTTGTGCTATATATGTTGTCAGTAAGTAAGTAAAACTTTATATACTTCAATATATTTTTGAAATGTTTAAAATATTTTTTTTCGAAGAATACAAAAAAACATATAGCAAACTTGGATTGCAAGTCATAAAAGAAAGACATTCAGATATATCAAAATATGTAGGCTTCTTCGGAATCTTTATATAAAATATTGGAAGAAGCCTACACTTTTCTAGGTATGTACTCAGATATGCTGAAGGCATATAGGCACAAATAAATATATTTAATAATACTTGTGGTATTCTTCTGCATAATCTTTATATAAAATATTGGCAGAAGAATACCCACTAGTATGTACCCGGGCATATGTGGATACTTAAGGAAAGTAACTGCATACTCAATTATAAAAAATATTGGCAGAAGTCTTCACTTTCCTAGATATGTACTCAGGTATGATAAAGGCTTCTTTGGTGCAAATTTTATGCTCTGATGGATACAAAAAAGAAGCGATAGCAAACTTAGTTAGAAAACATAAAAGAATGACAATTGGCTATGTATCCAAAAGTGTAGGCTTCTTTGGAATCTTTATATAAAATATTGGAAGAAGCCTACACTTTTCCAGATATGTATTCGGGTATAAGGTAACTTCAGAAGTGCTTAGAATAGTAATACATGGCCAGCGCAGTAGGCACAGTAAATTCGGTCAATTATAGCCAGCACTATTCATAATTTCAGCCAGATCTTTGGATATAATGATTCGGCACCTAAGCTAGTATAAAACTGAATTAAAATTGGCAAACTAATAGAACTACTCTAATTTCCTGCCAATTCCATAACAGTTCCATAGTGCCAAACTGGGTCCTCAAATCACATGCTCTAAAGATCAGTCAGAATTATGCTATAATGTTGCCCAAAATTAACCATGAATTTACTGTGCCACCCAATGCAATATGTTTTTTTGTATTTTGACATGCAACAAAAGTGTAGGCTTCTCCGTAATCTATTATATAAATATTGGGAGAAGCCTACATCTTTTTAGATATATACTTGGGTATAATAGACATCTAGGATAGGTAACTTCAGAAATTTTATATAAACTAATAAAACTTACCTACCCTATCACTAGTATGAACTCGGGTATATATAGACATTTAGGGAAATAAGTGCATAATCTATTGCAGAAGCCTTCACTTTCCTAGATATATATTTGGGGATTTTTTACCTTCATTGGTATTGGCTTTGATCTTTCAAATTGTATACCCAGATCTCGGTAATCAAATAGGCTAGGTACAAGCCAAAGGCATAGTAAATTCTGCTTAACTTTAGCCAGCACTATAGTATAAGAAGTGATCTAAAACTGGTGAACTAATAGAACTTTTCTGGTTCTCTACCAGTTTCCTGCCAGTGCCATAATAGTTCTAAACACTATCAGGTCACTATTATGGTGCCAAGTTGGATCCTCAAATTATGTGTCCTAAAGATCAACTGGAATTATGCTATAGAGCCAGCCAAAATTAACTATAAATTTACTGCACCATCTGACATAATATTTTTTTTGTATTTGACAGGCAACAAAATAGGCACAGAAGGTAAGTATCTCAATATAGAATCCAACATCCAGACCGGCACAGAGAACCAGCACCCTCAACATAGAACTGGGCATCCAAACAGGTACAGAAGGCCAGTATAAACAATATAGAATTTAATGTGTAAATAGATTAGGAACAAGAAAGAAATAGCAGTATTTAGATCACATGCTGGTAGTTAGATTAAATAGTAGGTAGTAGTTAGATTATATAGTATTAAAATATAAATATCAGAAAGAGTTCAAAGAGATAACCAAAACATAAAATAGATATCTGATATAGAAATATATAGATTATATAGTAGTAATTAGATTGCATGTTTAGATTATAGTGTTTATTAAATTGTATTATTTAGATTATATAGTAAAGCTCAGATTATGTAGCGTTATTCAGACTACATAGAGATATCTAGATTATATAATGATATTCAGATTATATAGTAGTATCTAGATTATAAAGTAATACTATAATCTAACTTAAGTGGGATACCACCTGTAATATAATTTATATTACAGGTAGTATCCTACTTAATCCTTGTACAAAGTAAACTATTTGTTAAACCCAGCCAATACAAAAAGAACAATAAGTCAAATCTTCCTTACAACCAGTCTATCATAAAGCTTCTTATAGTATCTAGAAGGCTATTAAATTTAAATTCCACTTTTAAATATTTATTTCTTATTTTTAGTTATTTTTAATTAGTTATTATTATATTTATTTTTATATTTCTTCTTTTATTTTATTTTATTTTTTTTAAAATAAAAAGATCTTTCACTCAACACTCATCATTTTAAAATTTGCTACAGCTTGATAGTTTTTAGTAAATTTTATTACATTATAGAACATACTTATCAACTTTATCAAATCATATAATCTTCATATTATCTTTTACAAAGTTACTACTCATTAAAATAATAAATATAACAATCTTACTAACCAACTAGTATATAACTATTACACCTGCTATACTTTATTTTTACACTTTATAATACTTATAACTTAGCTTATATTCTAACTTTTGAGAATTTCTCCTTAAAGTTACCTATTTGTTGTAGCATTTGTACAATATGTTATACACATATATATGCACTTTAGATAACACAAAACTACTTTTAAAAATAGCATAAAATCTTTAACCAAGTTAATTGGCAAGCCACTTGGCTCTACATTAACAATAATCAAAAAATCTTTAACTTTTCTTACAGCTTTCAGTCTTCTACTTTTAAATCCTTTAAAATTAAAATCCTATCAGATGAACTTCCTACTTTACATATTCTACATAGACGCTATTTCTTATACTTACTTATTTGTTATCAATATTACTAAATCAGTTCACATCTTTATTAGACAACTTGTTCAACCAACTATTATTTAACCTTATTGATATCTCATTACAACATACTCTCAACTCAAATACACTTAATTCTATATCTAATAATATAACCAACTTATATTACCAAA